GCAGGAGAAGGACCAGATCCTTTCAGAATGACCAATTAAACGGGACTTAAACCAAATTCCCTGCCCTGTAAAAATCATCTCAGTGGCATGATGTTATCAATGTCCAGGGGTCTAAGGCAACAAAGGGGTTTGTTTCATGGATTAACTCCAAATGTGCCATGAGATAGGAGCAAATAACATGTTACCTCTCTATCCTGACCGAACCTCTAGTGCAATCACTGGCAAGTTGGTCTCCAGCATGCATCAACTAAGAGCATGGATCCAGCTGCTGCCCTGAGTCATCCAGTATCGGCAAGGGCTGACTCCAAGTTTGGACGAGAAGGGAGTACAGGGATTCCCCAAAACACCTGAACTAAGCTGAATGTGAAGTCCCAGACACGCTGGATATCCACCCATGTGGCCAAGAGCACCCAAAGCATAAGGAAGGAAAACTTAGTGGCAGCATTCCTCCTGGCCTCCAAAGTAGATATGAAAAGTTATTTAAGGACCACAATAAATGCCAGTTCGACCAGAGCAAGTCCTGGCTGTGAGGTGGGTGGCTAGACAGATGACTAGCGAGGACACAAAGGATACTTAGGCTGTTCCGCAGGATGCTCCCAGGGCACACTGCTAGATTAGCTGTTTTAGCCGGGTGCCCTAAACCCCCAGCAGGCTGCTCCAAGGCCACCCTGCTAGATCAGCTGTTTCAGCTGCGTGCCATAAACCCTGTCCCTCTGTTTTTTGGTTCCACTAATATAAAGCAACAGGGGAACCTGAACCCCCCTCTTTGCAGGGAGAGCATGACTGCAACACAAGTCCACAATATTAAATCTCTGAGGATGCATTTAAAAGTCTAGTCTTGTTCGCTGCATGAATTGTCCTCTCCTACTGCCGAACAGATGCAGTTCACTTTGGAACTGGCATCTGGCACTGTCAGAATGGATAACCAGTGCTGATTTCTAATGTGAGCTGACTATTCTGATCTTTTTGGTACTTTTATGTGGCAGAGCAGTCGCTATCCAGGGCGGAGAGAGATCAGTCCTCACACAGAGTAAGTAATCCAGGAATATTGTACAGGACTGTGAGGCAAAAGCTTATTGAAGAGAAGTCTGTACTGTTTGGCCAATGTCAAACCGCACTGACCAGCTGAAAAAGGGAAGAGATGACATGATAAATGGAGGGTATAATGCCTCAATCAACAGGTGTTTTCTCATATCAGGCTTGTAAATGCTGCTTCTTGATTCACTCAGCTTTCTCCCATGCATGAAAAGAACAGTCCCAGGCGTCTCCCCAGACCGACAGAGCATGGGAAGGTTGTGATGCCTTAATAGTTTCCAGGTGGCTTTTTGCTTCTCAGTCTGCAGGACTCTCTACACCTTGCTACATATCTGAAGAATGCGTGGACATTATTTAAGGCTGGCACGGGACCAGTTAAGAGAACAGGAAGAGTTGAAATCAAGTCAAGGTGATGATGTTACATGAGCATGTCACATCTTCTTTCTCTCCTGATGATACAGCCCATGGCTGTAGTGTAGGTAGAGGCTTTGCTGGTATGCGGTTGGAATGTCTTAGGCTTTCCAGTCTGTCTACAATAGCAGAGTCCTGTATCCGAGCACCTTACATTTACCCTTACAACTCTTGTCAGGAGGTACTCTTGGCAGACGGGACCTGATTTTCATCAAGGCGAAGAAGCAGGACCTCCAAGATGGCTCCATGGTCTCCTGCATGGCTTGCAGACTTGCAATACCTGACTCCACCAGGCCCTGACACCCGGTAGAGCCATCGACTCTGAGTTAAGCAGCTCAGAAAGGGACCTCCGCACCTGGAAAGGGAGACCTAGAAAGAGTGAAGTGCCGGTCTTTGCTCCTTCCTCTCGTAGCAGAACTGAGGGGGGAACCAGGGCAGCAGCCCCAGTTGCAGCCTTTGTTGGGGAGCACAAAAGCAGGCAGTGCCATTTGCACCAGGGTCCCCGAGCACCTGGAGCTTCTCCCCGACTGGTCCTTCCCCTGAGATAGACCACAGAGGGAAAGTGCCCTTTCTCTTAGAGATTGCCACCTGTGTGCCTAGCCCCCAAGACCAACCGGATAAGGTGAGGCAACATCTCAGTCCAGATGCCCATGGGCCTTCTGGCCTCAAAGCTGATTATCAGCAGCACAATGCAACATTGGATTTTGTTTGGCAAAACTTTCTCAGATGCATCAAATTCAGAAGAGACTAAAATTCAAAAGCAAAATTGCCCCCAGGATCCCAGGAGTACGTTCCTCTGTGATATATCCCTTTATTGCATAAAGTCACTCCTGATTTTATTCTTTTTTTTTTTTTTTACATTATTGGCTATCATTTTTAGGACTGACCTTTTTCATGCAATTCTCTGTAAAATTATTGCCATTCCTCATTTAGAAATTTGCCAGAATATGTTTTTTAAAAAAGCATGGGATTTGTCTTTTAATGAATCTTCCTTTTTTTCCCCCTTTCTTTCTAAGGAAGAGCAGAGAATTATGTCGATGACCTTTCTTTGTGCTTAATAGGATTTTTTTTCAGGTGGAGAATCATACCATTGGCTCTAATCAAGATAAAGAGCTGTCTGCTGCTGTCTATCTCTCTGCATCTATTTAAATGTTTATTAAGTACTACTACACAAGTATTTATAGCAGGCTGTATTTTATGGGAAATCTCACATCATGATCACATCTAAAGCATTATTAAGAAATATCAAAATAAAGGGGCGAGTAAGCAAATAGGAACCTTGCTGGATCGTTTCTACTTATGTCTCATGCTGATAAAGCAAAATATAGTTTAGAAAATAAAATCTAATGGTTTTTTCCCCCGGTTATTTCCATGCATGAGTAGCTTTATGTGAACTTGCAATGATATTGTTTTTCTTTCTTCACCAATTCAGTGAGAAATTACCTTGAGTTTTTCACTCTCAGGTCAAGTCTATTCTGTTCTTTTAGGTGGGTCTAGTAGCGGCACCTATATTCATATATCAATGTTCCTTACCTTTCCTGCAATATCTCTGTTTTCCACTGCTTCAAGCTCTACCAAATCGCAATCTTTTGCATGATGGGTGTCTGTTCCTCCATTGCCATGAATGAGACTGTGCTGTTGTGCTCATATTAAAACTTTCTGGTGACTTTTCCTTTGAGCAGCCCTCCCTCCCATGCTTTGGAGCGGGTGAGGCTGTCAGGAGGTGACCTTGGTGCCAGCAACGCACCCAGGGAAAATCCACATTATAAGCTCTTGCCTATGCGCCGTAGAATCGTCTTCATTTTTAGCTGCTCCATCCTCATCGGGCATGCTCCAGCTTCCCATGGGTTATGGTATGAATGAGACATTACATGCACCGGACCCACAGAATGGCAGGTTTAGGCTCCTGGAAAGGCCATGCTCTTTTTCAGGTAAGACTCCACTATGACCAGTTCTGGCTAGACAGTTTCCAGTTCCCTGTACAGAGGTCTGTAGTTGGCCTCAGATTTGCGGAGTGTCCCCAGAGTTGGTCAACAGACTTAAATCCTCCAATGCTGACTCTTGGCAAAGAAAGGAGACTTACCAATGGCCTTTTGGATAGAAACCCATTCTGCACACATTTATGACCCTATCAGAGCCAGGTAGACCTGCTGCTGCCCCTGTTTCCACTGGTATGCCAAGGTAGTGCTGTAGTTACAGCTCCTGGGCAGGGGAACATGGAAGATCTGGGCCCTGGTGTCTGAATTACTGAGCCTTTTGTTCTCCCTCTTTGTTTTATGTAATAAATTAAACTTATCTCCATGATCCAGTGCCTCTAATCTTAGTTCGTTTTCTTTGCTTGTCCATAGCACATGAGACTCATTCTTCCTGGCTAATCAGATAGGATGCAAACTAAAATAATCTCACTAGGTTGTTATATTTTATTCTGCACCTAATCAGTGCTTCTTGGTGCCCCATAAAGGCAAATTAAATGCTGCAGCATCTCTTTCAGTGCCCAGTCTATTATTTTTTTGGTTATTTGGTCTCTTCAAGAGATGAGGATCTCAGTTAGACTTTAAGCAGTGTGTCGTTATGCATCTGTATATGTGCAAATGCAGCCGCTATTATAATGGTGGGCCTATGGGCCTATCCCACACGTTATTTGCACTCAAGACATACATGAAGACAATGAGCGTCCATGTACTGGAGATGACATCCTAATCGAACTATCAGTCTAGTGAAATTTCTTGCCTGATTTCTTGTCCTCTCACATTTCTTTTTCTTGTCCTGGCTCTGATTCTCAGCCTCCAGCCCTAACTCATAGGGATCTTGTCAGTGCAACATCTTACGGCTCCACCAAAATGGTTGGCTCCTGCTTGCATTGTAATCTCCATCCTTCACGCAGACTTGGGCTGGCATTTCTGGCATTTCAAAAAGGCTCAGAAATCTCATGGGTGAGTATTAACTTTTTTGAGTTGGAAGGGGCTTCATTGCCAGGATCTGAATCCCAGGCCAGCAGATATTTATTCTTCTAGTTCAGTATTAACCATCTGATGGTGTTTTGACCAACAGTCCTCCCAAGGCACAGACGAACACTAGTAGATTTCTGCTGACGTTCAGATGAGTTTATAAATGAACTAGTTTTGGCCCCCTCCATATGCCTTTTGTTTTTCTTTTCATAGGCAATCAAGACTCTGCAGTTCACTTCCTACGAATGTATGCCAATAACCATCAGACACAAATGCACAACCATTGGCAAGAAACAGAATTCGAAGTCTGCACGTTCTGGAGGGACACAGGCATGCCTCCAGTGGGTATCAAAAATAAAACCATGTCAATACCAATATTTTTAACTCCACCCAGAAAGTCACAGGCGGTCCAGGCAGATTATGAAACACTAGAGTAAGATGCCCACAGCAGCTTTCCTTGCCAGGTAGACTGGAGGATTTATCACTAGCGTTCGCTTCCAAATGGATTCAATGTGTAGATCAATCTAGGGTGCATTTCAATAGACCGGACAAAGACCTGGATTGCAGAGGCATGGTCTGCATGTGCAAGGAAAGCTGCCGTCTCCTAGTGGGGTGCACAGGATGAAAAGCTGGCCTGGCGACTCCTGAAATAGCAAGCAGTCATTGGGGTTGTACCCAGGCAGGCACTCGTAATCGATGAGCGTACAACCTCAGCACACAGAACACACGCACGGACACCTTGTCAAGACACAGAAGCAACAAAGACACTTATCAAGGGTTGGCCATGTCAATTGTCCCTATTAAAAAGCCACCGTGCATGGGTTGCTGCCGCACAGAGCCCAAGCTCCCAAGCATGGAGGCGAATGCAATATTGCAATGTCTCGGATAACACTGTACAGCAAGAGTTGGAAAATGTAGACTTCCTATGGGCAACTACGCTATGTCTACATTAGAAATGTATCTACTGAAGTACCCGTGCTTTAGCTGCAAAGCCTTAAGTAGAATGGGTTAGTAGTGAGGTTTACAGTAATTTGTTATAGTAAATAGACGTGTGTGTATGTGTGTGTGTAAATTGGTCTATTCAAGCAAAACCTCCTGTTTTCAAAACACACCTTGTTCAAGGTCAGCTGTTTGTTAAAACCTTGGGGCAAGCCCTTATCTTCTTGTTGAGTCTAAACTTGGTCCTTGCAGAGGCAGAACTGCCCCAGCATTGTGCCACTGTGACACAAATCCAGAGCTGGAGTGTGATTTTCCAGCATTTTGCTTCCCCGTGCTTTGCACATGTCCGCGATCATTTGTCATGGCTGGTTACATCGGCACATCATGTTCAATTTATTTCTGAGAAGCAAAATGAAAGGTGATTAGAGAATTTTTGCCATATCTGAAGCCGTAAACTATGGGCTAAATTGAAGCATTAAGGCACAGCACTGCCCTGGGGATCAGATGGAGGCAGTCTGCTTTGAGGGTCTGGCTGTCACGTCATCTCTTAAAAAGGTCCAGCAAGTGCCCTTCTCAGTAGGAAGGGTCAGACACAATACGAGATGCCACAAAAAGTGAGATCAGTCTCCACTAACTACACTGGCTGCAGCTGTGCCCTCCCAGCTCTACTGGTCAGAGTAGCAGGGAAATGGGATAGTGGCCCTCCTGCCCCCAGCACGCATTACTGGGGCTATCTATAATCTAACTAGCTGACTCAGGGTTGATTTGTCCAGTTTACATGCAAACTGGACAAATGAGCCCTGCAAATTACATGCACATTTTTGGAGCAGAATCTTGCTCCTTTGAATTTTAGTATTTATGAAAGCGCTGGTAAAAACCCCTTCTGTTTCATCATCGTTGATATTATTATTATTATTATTTTGTGGCTAGGTACCAGGGTTTAAAATGGGAACGTTATTGTGAGAGATTAAAATGTTTCTATAGCTAAGCAGGCATCCTCTGGCTGATTTATTTTAGCATGATAATATAAGTAGGCAATGACCTGTACTTTCTCTGCAGACTAGAAACCCAACATGATGACACCAGTGGGATTACCTGGGTGCCTGAAGATATGCACAGGTTTAAACGCTTTGCTGGACTGGGCCGGGCTACAAATGCACAGATGCAGCTAAGAAAGGTGAACCCTCCTGTGGAAAGCACCACCATGGTTTGATGCTTCAGACTCCCAGCGATGGTCACCTACACATCTAACACGAGTAGCCAGCCCCCATCACAAAGTAAATGCTGAGCTGGTACAGTATAAAAAGCTTTTCTTCCCCTGGCAGCTGCAAAAGACAGTGGCAGAACTAGACGGCCTCTGGTAAGGCCCCTCGCATCCACCGTCTAAATGAAGATGCTGAAGCTGGGACCAGACAGCACTTCCCAAAGGGCTGGACACAAACCTACCTGAGAGGCTTGGGGCGTCTGGGACTCTGTTACTTCCCAACACCCAACTGTGAGTGGGGTCATGAATTGGGAGGGTCAGGTGGTGGAGCAAGGGGGCATTTTGTTCACGATGATGCACAGAGAAAGTTGTGAACAGACTACTCTCAGTGTTACCCCAAGGAGTGTTTTATGCCTCATGCATTTAGAGCATGTCTGTATTTTCCCCAGTGGATGCTGTACCCTCTTTGCCCCTAGCAAGCCGTTCTTTGTTTCACAGGCATTCGGTGCATGTGAGTAAGGAAGACCTGTCTAAAGGGGAGTCTGTGGGTATTTAGCTATCTCAGAAGCTCTGGGCTCGGGACCACAGTGGTTGTTGGTTTTTTAAAAAGCCCCTCACTATTTGAACCTGCCCTTGCAGCTGCTGGCAGCTGGCAGAAGGGTTGCACTTGCAGTCTGGTGCTGGCCACGGTCACAATACTGGTATAGGTTGGTCTGGTTCAGTATGGAAGTCTCTGTTCCCATGGGTTTCTGGTTTTCATCAGTGTACAGGGACAAAGGGACAGGGGCTATTGCCTACCTGAAGTCTGAAAGATTCTTGTCTCCATAAAATAATGCAATATTCCTCCAAGCTGAGGCCCAATGAACACAAAGTACTCCACACACCCTGGGTGTGTCTATACATTGCCATATGGTGCCGTTGCTATGGCGTGGTGTTTTAGTACTTCCAAAAGTGTCAGGTTTAAATGCTTTGTGGTTGCAGCACATGAAAGGGCAAAAATTGTGGTGTGTACATGAGCCCAATGGGTTTCCCAGAGACAGAAGGAAGTACTAAAACACCGCACTGTAGCAACGTCACCATACTTTTGAAAGTATTAAAGCACAGTGCAGTATGGGCGGGTACCATGCCACGTGCACAGGTAAATGTTGCCGCTACATTGCCGTAGCAGCGCACTATACCTGGGGAGTGCACGGCTACAGCAACGTAGCAGGCAATCATGTGTAGACGCACGCGATCGCTACGTTGCTGTAGTGTGCCCTACGGCGACGTAGCACATTGCTATGTCACCCTAGGGCAATGTATAGATGCGCTCACTGTGTCTTAAACCCCATCGTACTTTTGACCTGATTGAAGGGTCTGCCTTCAGGGGTCAGTTTGTAGGAGAAGGGCCAATGCCAAGGGATTTTGGATGGCCAAAAGAGTTGGCAGATTTGCTTCTCATCAGGACCTAGTCAGACCTAGCTATGTCATGATCCAAATCTCAGTGCTGCTGAAATCAGATCTCAGGGCTGGGATGTTACTAGATCAGAGGAGCCCATCGACAGAAGCATCCCAAGAATCGCAGCCTTCCACCATTTCCGTCTCCCCCAAGGCCCCCAAACTGGCTGATTCCTCAAGGTGGTTGCATGTCAACCTACCTTGAGATGAGAATAGAAGTTGATGCAGAAAACCTGACACAGATGCATTCGTGGAGCATCTTTTCCACTGCCGGGTGGAGGGGACAGCAGCTAGTTTCCATTTTGTTCTCGAGTTTTTATATCTGAAAAAAGTCAAACCTTCAAGATCTGTTACATACACCTGACAGCAGGTAGGAGCAGAAAAGAAAATCTCTCTTCATAGACATCTCGCTCCAACAATTTGGGAGCAGGGAAGAGTGATCACTGCAGAGAGAAGCTATACTTATTAACAAAGCAAATGTATCTAGATGCAATTTACATGTCAATCATCTATAAATTGCCAGTAATTAATTAATGGCATCCTAGCCAAATAAGCTATGGGAATATCCTCAGGGACAGTCGTGAGTTTGCAAGGAAGAACAGGTATGTTCAGAAAATCAGATGCTAAAAGCCAAAGGTCACACAGCCGCCAGAGAAACATTTTCTTTTCAACACAGTTTGTCTAGTACAGGGCAAGACTGATCTCTAGTGGTTAAATCCAAGCACTGCATGCAGCTCCAAAAATCTCTTTATTGCCTGTTCTAAAACCCAGCATGGATATAATAAGGCAAAAACCATCCCTTTTCTTGCTAGGATACACTTCCAGGACGTTGGCTTGCATGCTGTTCCTAGTGTGGCAATGGCAACTGATTAAAAGATCAAACAGGCCGTTAGAAAATAAAAGGATTGTCAAGGAGAGATTTATATTCTTAGATGGCAGCCTGTGTTCTTCGCCAGCACAGGTGCTAGGTCGACGTGACCAGGTGATGCAACTTCATACCTACAGCAGTGCGAGGTAGCACAAAGCAAATTTCCAGCATGCTCTCAAGCTAATTTGAGCATCTGGCAAAATAGCATATCAATATATATCGGACCTTATTTAGAGGCCACCAATGCAGGAGCCCCATTCAATTGTTTTAAAGTATTTTGGGGGCACGCTTGTTAATAAACCGTTAGGGCAGGCTGAAAATAGCAAAATAAATGTAGAATGTTACCTTGGTTTTCTGAGACATTTTCCTATCAATTTTTTTTTTTTTTTTTTGGTTGAAAGCACCACAAAAAAAAAAAATCTCATTCCTATTCAAAATTTTGGCTTTGTATTTTTTGGTCTCTTGTTTTCTTCCACTTCCCTCTAAATGTTGCACGTTGCATGCCTCTGCCCTACTGGAGGACCAAACTCAAAAAAGGGAAAAGAAAAGCCAATCATGACACATCTGAGAGTTAGGTTTGATTTGAAGTGGATTTTATTTTGTTGAGACGAACAAAAAAAAAATTACAACGTTTGCCTTGAATATTTTCACATTACTGAAAGGCAGTTTTCTTTACAAGAAAATCCTCTCCGATGAAGAACAGCGCAACTTTCTGTAAAGCACGAGCTTCTGTTTTCATTCATATGCCAGCGCAACCCCTACCATATCTTATAAAAGGCATCCAGGCTGAATGTAAGAATTCAAGCGGTGGTGAATCGCCCGCAACCCTCAGGGAGTGGTTTTGGCTTTGCTCTCACTGTTAAAAATGTTCATCTTGGGTCCAGGCAGGCAAGCTTTTTTGAGTAGATGTGATGTCTTTTATTAGACCAACTAGCTAGTTGGTCTGATATCTTTTATTAGCACATACTTAAAGGGTACTAGCTAGTTGGTCTAATAAAAGATATCACATCTACTCAAAGAACCTTGCCTGCCCATGTCCTTAGACCAAGATAGCTACAACCAACAACTCAGCACCTTGGGTCTAGAGTTATAAATTTGTCTTTATTCATCTCTCAGCCCCTGAATCTCATTATGCCCCTGTCTGCTAGATTAGACCTAGCATAGAGAAAGACGCAGTCTGAAGCCACATCACTTCTAAACCTTGTTCTTCTTCCGACGAACCATTTGCATCCATTCACCTTAAGCTTCAGTTCTTCAAATGCCCCGGTCCACGTTCTCTATAGTGACTTGGCATCTTTTGGACATGCAGTTGAAGTCCTCTTAAAAGGCCCATCCTTGCTGAAAACTTTCAGCCTTCTTTCAGATACCTCTCTAGGTCATCCAAAGAAAAGAAGGAATTCACCAGCAATTGTGTTACAGCCCTGGCCCGTACCCTTTGCACCGAATGGGAGAGAGCAGGTCCGTCCCGTCGTTCTATCAGGGACTAGGATCATTTCGGGAAACTGAAAGCCATAAGAAAAATAACAATTATCCATAGCCTGAACTTTAAAAGAATATATATTATTAGAAGGTTAACGAGAAGGAGATTTTCATTGGGTTGTGATGTATTACCTAAATCCACCAGTTTGTTCATATTCTACAAGATAAACAGCAACTGTGTTATTGGTTTTTTTTCTTTTAACTGAGCATATTTCTGGTTTATATAATGTTGACAAGTCGTTGAAACATAATGTGAACTTTCAGAGAGTCCCAATCTGACAGTGATTAAGAATCCACATTCCTTCCTTTGCGGGGTTTTTTTTTTTTATGAGCTGATAAAATACATGCTACTGATTTCAAGTAGATTTGTACATGATTCATTAGTAGTCACCGCTTAACGACATTTTTTCCTCACCTCTTTCTTTTACCCATTTTTTTGCAAAGGGTTCATCAACAAATATTTCATGCATAGATGTCATATGAAAGGGAGAATCTTTTTTTTTCTTCCTTAATTAGGAAGGAAGTTATTAATAGGGTTTTATACTGATTGGGTGCATCTACATGTACCCCTGGCTGCGCAGTTGTTACTGCACAGTCAATTAGTACGGAGCTAAAGGAAGTACTAAATGACTGCACAGTATCAGCCATTACTGCGCAGTCCCAGCGGCGCGTGGGTCATTTCCAGCGTCGGCATCACGATTCGTGCCTGCCAATGCTACATCACTGTCGCAACGAGCTACGTTGCCATAGCTCATCGCTACAGCAACATAGCATGTCATGTAGACACATCCATTTAATAGTACTCATCTCCAAGTGTTTTGCATACCATAAAAATACCATAGAAAATTATATAAAAATTAATTTGTTAATATAAAACTTAGGCAGTATGGATAAGGGACTGATTTTATTTTTTTGGTTCTGCGTTTATGCAGGGTGAATCACAGAAGCTCCCAGGCCACGATAGGGCGTTTTAGCTCTCACACATTAAGAATGATGATATGATTGAAAATGCAGGCATTTTCAAGAAGAAGAGAGCAGCAAGCAAGGCGTACCTCATAGGAGGGTGAAAATTTGGCAAAGAGCAAAGCATGCCCGCAACTGGTAAGATCCCCATTGATTTCCATGCACATCATGTTGAACGTTTTAAAAAGCTGCCAGTCTCAGACCAAATTCTCACCTGGTGCCAACACACGGGAAGTCGAGGGAGCCTTGCTGGTTTGTACCAGCTGAGGACCTGTTCCATTTTTTGAGGCATTAAAAACGTTCCCACAGGAGAAGCTGCTTGCTACTCAATTTAGCTATTTTAGGTGAATAAAGCTTCAACTTTATGCAGTATTACTAGCTAGGAATACCTGGAACGCCGGGTTCAAATCCCAGCAAAGTACAGGGTGTGTCTACACATTGCCGCATGGTGACGTTGTTACTGCCTCAGTACTTTTGGAAGTGCTAAAGCACAGCGCAGTAATCGCCGGTACAGGAGGTGCACACTTAGGTTTCCCCGCGATGTCTCCGTAGCGGCACGCTATAAATGGGGAGCGTGCCACTACGGCAACGTAGCCAGAGATCACATGTAGACCCATGTGATTGCTACATCACCGTACCGTGCCATACATCACCATAGGGCAATGCGTAGGTGTGCCCAAACAGCAATTGCCTATCGGGTAAAGCAGCACTTTCAGGAGAACTGAAGCCTTTCTCAACCCTTCCAGTAATCTGCTGCCTGATTGGCAAGGGAGTGATGCCTCTTCTCCGTCAGCCGTTTCTGACTATACTAATTGGTCATGATAATGCCTTTTAGTACAGCAACTCAATGGCAAATTACAGGCTCTTATGCCAGAATAACATTGTAAATTTTGCATGTGCAGGCAGATGTACAGCAAGCTATGCCACTTCTTGGGCACAGAACGGCTCCTGGAGTTGTAATGGGAAGCACGTTGGCATTTATGGTATAGACTCCCTTCTTCTAAGACCCTGCAAATAGTCACATTAGTGCAGGTGGTTGTGCCGGTTTGCAGCTGCAAAATGGGAATGCAGAGCTGCGGAGAAATGCCCCGTCGGCTTTATGGCCCCTTCCACAGCTTAGTGAGGTGCTTGCGCTCTTTTGTGTGGAAACTCAACACACACTCACACCATTGTACGCTCACACACACACACAGAGGGAAAAACATCTCCAACCCCTGCCCCTTGCAGCCTGGTTCTTCTAGGGTGCGTATAATCCTCAGGCTCTGAGGTATCTTAAAGGGTACGTGCTCCGAGCCAATGCCCCTGGCATTTCAAAAGCAACCCTGCTTGTTTTCTGTCAGCTTCAAAGCTGGTTTTCAGCTTTTGCTGCTGGCTCTGCCTCTCGTGGCTCCAGCAGCCGACGCTGAAAGTGCTTGCTGCCTTGTGAAGGAGCAGCTCGAGGGGCGTCAGGCAGCAAAGCTCCCCAGGCAAACCCCCTGCTAGTTCTTTGGGCCGGTCTATGCTGCTCTGCCCACAACCAGGGCCAGATCCTGATCTTGCCCACTGCAGCGTCAGCGAGGAGTAGTTCAATGCTGTAGCAGCGCTGTCATGTTCTTGTAGCTGTGATGGTCCAGAGATAGTGCAGGAGGGTTTCCTGCTCACTTCCCTTTGCCCGGTTTCATTGAGATCCTGCGGTTAAATAAAAGTAACTGTTCTATCTGATGCTAAGCTGATGCTGTTACCTGCTTTTTTCCTAGAGCTGAGACATCCGGGAAAACCCTGGAAATCTTCAAAAGGAGACTGGACAGTCACCTCGCTGGGGTCACTTGACCCCAGTTGCCTTTTCCTGCCTAGTGCAGGGGGGCTGGACCCGATGATCTGCAAGTTCCCGTCCAGCCCCTAACATCTATGAATCTATGAAATCTTACTTCCTGAGTCATTTTTCCACCAGCAAAGCCAAAAAAAAAGCAGCAGCTCATTGGAAATGCTTCTCTCAAGATAGTCCACAAATGAGGATTCAGTGGCACAGTTCTTCTGATCCAAAAAATGTTTGCAAAGACTGAAATTAGGCATGCAAAGGTGACTGGTCAAAGCATGTTCTACATGTCATGTGTGTATGCAAAGTGGAAGATTGCAGTAATGAATAGCTCAGGGTAATTCCCCGTGTACACGCTCTCATCCCAAGATAGATGGACACTGAACTGTGGTATCTTGGCCCTCAAAAAGTTGATGCATGATAAAAAGCCCCATGGTCTCTCTGAACCTCTATGCTCAGGGTTGTTCTGGGCTAATCTTGATCTTGCTCATGGTAGTATCAGTCTGGAGGAACGCCACTGATCCTAGGTGAGATACGTCCATGTAGAAATGGTGTGAGCTCCCAGCCGGCATCAGCGTTTGCTAATCCTGGGTGTTTACTTTGCAAGACATCCTGGGGTGTGTTTGCTGATATGATATCAGAGTTAGCAGACATAAAACTGAAGAGGTGCTAAATAGAAACAGTGATGCATGCTGTGGGCATGTTATGGAGGAGAAAAAATGAGCCAGTTTTAACTGCGGAGCTGCTTGTGATTAGCACAAGGTGAATGCAACATCCCTGAGGCACTATTGGGCTTCTTTCATGGCAATACAGCCTAGCACCGGGGCCTATTCGACATGTTTATACTGGGCACATCCTCCAAAACCACGGGGTGGGAGCAAATCTGAGCACTTATGCTACCTGCTACCTTATCTGTCCTTATGAAGCAGCTCTTCCAAAGGGAGGTGGGACTGGCCCCGCTCATGCATTCGCAATAATTCCTATTCTTCTAAAACCTTTCTCCGTGGGTGTTTAAACTGTGTACGTGCCTGGGAGTGAACCTAAGCGGTCGGCTTTACAGTATTTCCCTCTGTATTTTTATGCTTTGCAGATCAATTTCATGAACTCTGCTAGGTAGGACGGCTGCCACCAGCTGGAAGAGTGTAGTAAATTAATTATAGATGTATGTTAAATTACTTTCATTACCACCCTCAGCCCTGGGATGGGATCATGTGAGCAGGATGACTGATGAAACAGCACTTCTGTATATCCCTGTGGTGATGGATATTTTTGCTCAACTGGTAGCATTGTTTCTGGATACAGGGAAGCCAGGATCGTGTGCTTCAGAAAATTGAGGTCTCAAGTAAACTCCAAGCGTTGCTGGCAGGTTTATGGCTCAAATATACCAGCTATTGGGAGGGCGGTAGGGGTGGAGACTCTTCCTTCTCCCTGTACTTTGACATAGGCACACATCTGAAAGCAGATACCTCCATCTGCCTCATGTCAGGCCCCTGGCAGACACGGGAGCTATCTATGCTTCACCCGTCCCCGGGTATTTCCTAGCAGCCAGCTTAGGTGGTTCCCTGTTTGGGGGGCAGGAGTTTGTGGGTCCTATTCTCTTGGGCCTTATAAAGATTGCCTGTGTGCCTAACAGGGCTGTGATTTCACTAGGCCATAGGGTGCCCAAGTGAGTTGAGCCAACTCCTCCTTTGTGCACGTAGCCCCATGTCCTTCCAGTTATGCATGAGGATACCAGGCTTCCTTGGCATTTGCAAAAGGAGTAACATATTTAGACACAATTGAAGGAAAGCAGGTGGCTAACAGACTGGCTATTAATTCTGTAGATATAGCTGTTGAAGGCAGCCAGGATACAAATCCATGTGCATATTTTTTCTTGCCTATTTTCACCTCCTAATAACCTTGGCATAGGGCATTTCTGGGGATTAATGGTCTTCTGCTGAACTTCAGTCTATCAACTTTCTGCAGGGCCTCATTAATCCCTGGGAAATTGCCTGTTCCACGATTGCTACTGCTAAAAAAAAATGCATTCGGAGAATGAAACAGTGCTGCTAGTGCTTCATCATGCACCAGCCCTAACTGCTAACTCTGGGTGCACATCACAGTACCTGTTACTTATGTGGCTGGTACGCTACAGTTGTAGTTGTTGTTGCATATAATTATCAGCAGCCCTATAACCGGAAGCTGCACTTCATGCCCGTATTACTGAGCGTGGTCCTTCAAGTCTCATCCCATAGCAGCTTTCGACATGGATCTCACCTCTAAATGCTTGTTACAGTGAGTGAATTGGTTCAATAATGTTTCCAGAATCATAAATCTAGTGGACATTGTGATCGGTGGCAGGAGCATGGGTGAGGGTTGTCTCAGTCGCCCTCCAGGTGCTTTGCCCATCCACGCTGCTACGGCCCTACTTCCACGGCTGCCAGCCCTCACCAGATGCCCCATGCGTCTGGAGTAGTTGCAGCAGCACAGGGCATATAGCAGAGACAGGGCATACCTGGGGCACATGGTGGGGGCTGGAGCTGCTGCCTCATGCCCTGGGTCAGAGCTGGAGCTGCCACCACTGCAGCTCCCTTATGTCCCAGCTGGATCCACCCCATAAGGAGCCCCACAGCTCAGATTCAACCCATGGCACAAGGTGAGTTTGACACCTCCCACCCCCCGGGTTAGATGCAGGTTGACTCCAAGTAGCTGAAGTGCTGTTTGATCTTCATTTAACAGCCCCTTGGGCTACTGAGATGAAGGCACACCAGTTTCTATAGCCAACCTCAAAGGAGCAATGTGACCAGCATGTTACTGGTTGCCTTTGACTCCTGAGACTGAATGGCTTCATAGTCATTTATAGCTAGGCTGAAGAGGCAGCCTTCAGCATGACTTAAAACTCATGCCTCCGGAGCTGTAGATACCAGGCCCACCCTGTCAGCATACTCCAGAAGCTGTAGGATCTGCTTCTGAATAGGATTAGGGTAATAATCTATTTTGCCAGGTTTAGAGCATGTGTAATTGTAATTTTATTGTAATACTGGTAACAAGCAAGAGTGAAGAGTTTCAGGAGAATCGAGCAAAGAGGTAGGTCTAATAATGCTCAGCACGTGTTTGGCTAGAACAGTGTTCCTCAACCAGGGTGCCTGGCGTGCAAAGCAATCTTTTTAAGGGTGTCACAGGGTGGCATGCAATATTAACACTGTCAGATGTGCAACCACCTGCGCATGATTCACAAGATAAACCCAGAGATTTCAAATAGGAATCCACACTGTCACAAACTTTCTGCCCTGCTGTGGTCTCTCTCAGTTCTGTGCAACAGAAGATTTGCTCTATTATGCCTCCATAGTCAAAAAATGAGGCACAGCTAAGAGCTGGCATTTTGCAAGTCTAACAAAGTTGAGAGACCCTGGGCTAGGGGCTGGTAACTCCAGGAGAGATGGTTTATAGCCAGAAATGGAACTACTTGGAATTAGAAGCTACTTTTGCAAATGTGGGCCTTGTTGAATGAAAGAGTATCCAACCTTTGGAAACTCAGCCTCCTCCAAGGAGCTTAGGTGAGCACTTGCACCCTCCAGGTGAGCAGCATTATAACTAGCTAGCTCTGAGACGAAGCTCCAGTTTGAATATAGTAAAATGGATGATATGTTTGTGCTGCATTCAGGAGAAGCCCCAGAAAGCTTTATCCCACTCCCAACACAATGGGGAGGTTTTGCGGCTGGTCTTAATCTATCAGCACAAGTCATTAGGAGAAAATGTATCTTCTTTATTAGCTTCTTGGATGAGATGCAAGGACTCATTTGTCTTAACCATATCAACGTGCTAACGCTATTGTCAGGTAGAATAATGACAGACATTATAGAGAACACAACCTGTCAGGAAGGAATATATTTGCTCATAAGTCATTCTGCATAAATATACACACCCTTACTTTTACCAGGCAGACTTTTGGGAATAATGGTAGGAGAGCTACACAAACTCAGTCAGAGGAAGGAAGAAAAATGTGCTCCTGTGGTCCATATATCATCCCTCAGAAGTGAGGCCTCTATCCATGTTAAGAAAAAAACAAAAACCAAAACAACCTTTAACTAATGAGCTGGGAACAAATCCTATTTTGGGAGAGGAAAGCAGGGGAACAAACCACAGACATGGGTGGGCATGTTATCCAGCCTCTACTGCCCCATGGTTATAAGCAATATTCCTACATGCTCCCTACTTTCCTCTAAGATCACACAGTAAGTATGAGGCACATGGTCTCCAGAGTCCTTGGTGAGCACCATAACCCTCAACCTGTCTCTGAGAACTAGGGGGGCCTGTACACACCACAGGTTTTAAACCTTATTAAATTTAAATAGGTTTATAAAATTTAAACTTGTTTATTTTGGAACGTCGCATTTGTGTTTACATGCACTAGGTTCTCAAACAAATTCAGCTGAGCCCCTGGCCTGCACCAGAGGAGAGCGGGATGGTCCAGTGATGCCCCCTGGCCCCTCACCCACCCCATGCCCGTGCCCTGCCACGCAACTGTGGAAGCAAGGAGACGACAAACCACACAAGAAAAATAAATAAATAAACTATGTCCGAGGAGTGTTAGTTTGAATTGCTTTCATTTTTTAATTGCTTCTGCTTTTTTAAAGGGGTGAACTACAAAAAAGTCGCAGCGCCATCTGGTGGACAAAGAGGATCGTTCCACATCTTTTAGTGCCTTTGCGTTTGCACGCAACGAATCCATGGATGCGACACTTCAATTCCGGGTGAGCCATACTAAACTATGTCCCAGGAGTTTTAGTTTAAAAGTCTTTCTTGTGTGTTAAAGCGTCTGGAAATCCTGCTCATGCAAACAGACATGCAGTTGCAGCGCATGAAAGGGCAAAAATCGTGGTGTGTACATGAGCCCAATGGGTTTCCCAGAGACAGATGATGTCTGAGAGAGCTCTGCCAGCTTGTGAGTGCAGGTAGCTCACATTGCACTGTGGTGGGGTTTGATAAGTTGACAACATGGTGCAGTAGGTGCTATTGCCCTGGCTGTTTTCAGTGTTGCTGTTTGTGAGGTTATGGTTGTTGAACAGTTGGTCCCACTTCTTCTTCTTCTTTGCTTTGGTTGTTGTAATAGTTGATTCCATTTCTTCTTCTTCCTGTGCTGGACAGCTCTCATCAGGTGCTTTTGCTGGCTGCTGCATTAAGTATGTCTCTGAGTTCATTTCTTTCAGTTTAGTGGAGCCTGACAGTCTTTCTTGTTTCAACTGATCCCTTTTGGAGAAAAGTCAGTGGAGGGGACTTCATGTCTTCCTGCATAGTTGTGTAGTGTACTTAAGAGTTGTGTGGATTAGCCAGAGGGCTGCAGATAGTAAAGCCCCTGGAGATGATTTTGGAATCATTTGTTTATACTATTCTTTCATCGGATACAAATGAAAATTAAATAATACCCATTATAAACACAAAGGCAGGTAGATAAGCAGCAATATATGGCAAACATAGACTTTGTTCCTGAGAGCTACTGACATCGTGGAAGGGTACGTTGACATTTAGGAATACTCTGCCTTTAAGCATTCACACTGGTTTTTGATGAGGTCATGTCTGTCTGCTCATCTAATATAACCGATGTTACTCTCACTGCTGACTGGCATGAAAGTCATATTTGAAAGTAATACCTTAGCATAATCTTTAATAAACCTTCATTGTCCACCAGGCGCTTTCTGAATGCAGCCGAATAAATGTGGTGTCAATTGCCATGGAAGATGCCTTGCTCAGTGATCTCTGTTGTTACATAAAATGATTGCATATTTCCAAGGCACACGTGATAAGGGTATGAAAGTACAGAGCGAAACTTGGCCTGCGCCTCTTTGACACAGTGACCATTTTCTTCCACTTAGCTGCGTTTCAGGAGCAATTTGCTCTGGGCATTGTGGACCATTCTGGCTGAGAATCACACTTTGCCTGTATGGAGAGGAGAGCAAGTGCATTTCTTTGTGCACGTATTGCCAAAATGACTCCTCCTCCCTTTTGCTCCCAAGTTCATCTGAAACACATCTGCAGGAATACACAGCTCTTTGTCAGCACTCGGCCTGCCTCATTAGGAGAGGAAAAACCACAGCCTCCTGTGCTTTCTCAACAAGAAAGGCTTGTGTAAACATTTTGTTCCTAGTGCTCCGTTGTCATCCTCTTGGCTAGTATTTTATCCCAGATACATCTCCCTAGCAATGGAAAACACACAACCCCTAAAAAGTGAAACCCTTATACGTGTTGTATGCTTAGCCCTGCATCTCTGGCAACTCACGTGAGCAAAAGCTGGAGGCTGGATCCTATCTGAGTAGATTTTGAGAAGCAGGACTGATTGGCATGGAAAACAATGCAAATTAAGCTTTCTTATGCTATTTTGCACATCCAGTTATATATGCTTCCACAGGCCGAAGCGCTACTGTGGAAGTGAAGCAATTCTGTGTACTTCATACATCAAGGAAGAAAAGGAGCACAGAAGGTAGAGATTGGTTTGAAGTTCCCAACTTTTACATTCTTCTACTTGATAAGCAGAAGATAAGCAACTTTTGGCCTCCAGACTAGGGGTTCAAATACCTGAGACCGTGGTTCTATTACATTCGTTTTAGCAGGTCAAATAGGGAGACAAACTTTAGTGCACCGGGAACAGGAAATGTATCTGGGGGAGTGCATCTAAATCTCAGAGAATCAACTGATTTAAATTTACAACAATTTGGACCTATGGTAATAACCAGCAGCACTGTCAGGGGCTAATGCTGCCTCTTACCTGTGCTAACTTCATACTTGTTAACAGGTCTGACTGCTGTTGCACAGCCTCACACCTAGATGGCAGGACAGCCTCTAAGGACTTATTTGCATTCAGTAAGGCTAAGGACAGAAATGACACACAAACTGGTGCAAGCGATCCGAAACCAGTCCAGATCTCTAACAAAACAGAAATTCGGTGCATCTAAACCGCTTTCAAAATGGCTGAAATCCATTTAAGATAAACCTGGATGGATGTAGTATCAGACTTAACCTGAACCTGGAGGAGAACTGCGACAGAAGTTCAATAAACCAATTTAACCTAAATCAGTGAAGTCGCGGCCCCACAGCATCCCAGGATGCTTTGCACCTCTCCTGAAAACCCCTCACCTCCATACGGTGGGCAGGCTAGCCTGGGCTCAAGCTGTCTGCTGCAGCCCCCACCCGGCGTCTGGCCTGGGCCACTGCAGGCACGTGGCTGCATTTCTGGGATTAAAAGTGAATGTCTGTTCACTTGCTTATCGGTTCAATCCAAGCAGTTTAGATTAACCTGCAAAGACTGGATTGATTTAGCCTCAGGCTTTATGACTGTCTCTACTTAGTCTTACTGGCTGTCGCGGAGCAGGAGACACACACTGCCTCTACCTTGTATAACGTATACCAGTATAATTTTACTCTTCCTTTCCTCCCACCCAGGATAACTACACCAGGTTCTGGAAAATTGCACAAGGACAGGACTGTAATTTCGCTCCCGATTTGCACAGATATAAACAGGTGTGTCCAGGCATTAAAACTGAACAACCGCATTCTTTATGTGGGATTTTTCTAAGAAACAACGATTGCTCAGGCGAGACCTGAAATGGGTGGGCATTGCTTGATGCACGGCTGCTGTGATACGCACCCTCGCACATTTTGTGAGGCAGTTTTGAGGGAACAGAGTAGTCGCATTCAGGCCTGGTGCAAATGTACAGGGGTGCTTGTCACTTCGTCCTGTCAAACAGCATCTGTTTCTCAAAAGCTAACCAGAGCGGCATGGTCATAGGAAAGTAGGACTGGAAGGAACCCTACAAGGTCATCTAGTCCAGCCACCAGCTCAGGGCAGGATCGTCCCCGACTAAAACATCCCAGTCAAGTGTCTATCTAATCTGCTCTCAAAAACTGCCAAGGATGGAGAGTCCACAGTTTCTCTAGGCAGCTTATTCCAGTGCTTGACCACCCTCTTATTTAGGTAGTTCCTCTTAATCTCCAATTTATCCTTCCAATCTCCATCTGCTGAAGTTTGAGGCCACTACTCCTAGTCCTGTCCCCTCCCCCCGTGCCCCCATTCACAGAGAAAAGCCCACTTCCATTCTTTGTAATCACCCTTCAGGTATTTGAAGGCTGTTACCAAATCTCCCCTCGGTCTTTCCTTCTTCATACTAAACAACACTAGTTCTTTCAGCCTTTCTCCAAGATATCTTTATTTCCCTGCCCAGGCGATTCCAGTCACTTCAGGTTGCATTGCTTTGCAAATGGAAACAAAGGCCCGCCGCAATAGCAAAGGAGCAGAAGGACTATTTCACAGCCCTTCTCTGGTAGCTGTTTTTTTCCTCAGTCTGTTGTTCAGCCAACAAGTCCCTTGAAGCAAAAATCCAGGAGAAAGAACAAAGCAAGAGCCACAAAACAGATTAAGGCTTCTTTTAAAGCTCCAAGCAATCCCTGAGTGCAGGAGCCAAGCACAATTCCTTAAGATCCAAGCTAGTTTAATGTGAAATAGCTGTCTAGCAACTGAACTCAACTGAAATGCATTGAAAAAAAAAACCTGTCTCTGTATATTTAAAACGAAAACCCTGCCCCTGCTGAATGAGTATGTTGACCAATATTCCTTCCACCTGACTTGTCAGAAAGGTACTTTGAAGCGAGTGCAGCTGTAACTAGAACGTGTCCAATTTACCATGCAGATCACCAGATGAGATATGCAATTAGGGTGCCTTCCTTCTCTATAGTTGGTGCTGAAGGATGCATCTCATTGCATCGTTCACACTTCTGAGCTGAACAGGAGTTTAGGAACACGTCCTGGATATATTTGCTGGTCTTTGGAAACATGTTTATGGACTGGGGTATTGAACATTTTGGACCCCCTTCAGCAAAGCACTTAAACATGCCTAGACATTGGTCAGGTTAATCACGTGCTTAAGAGCTTTGCTGGACTGAAGCCAGGTGCTCTGTACTGTACTTGGGAGTCAAGCCTTACAAAGAGGGCCAAAACTCATCAAAAACCATGTCAATGCCTCCATTAAAATCGCTCCTATGAAAGAAGCCATGCAAGTGTGGAATAAGGAGCTTCTTAAATAGTAAAGAAAGAACCTAGTTTGCAAGAAAATGGGAAAGTGGTGGTTTAACCTTTGGGGATTTAAAAAGTGACAAGAAGCTGTGTGTTAAATATGGCAATAGCCTGTTCTGCAACCAGCAATGCACTAATTATTATTTTATTTGTTCGTCCCATATATTGTTGCTTTTCTGTTTTTGCATTGGAAATGCTACTGTATGTGGTTGGTCGGGTCATATATAGTATTATAAAGTGTTTATGCTATCCTACGTTTATTTAAGCATGTTCTGGATTCCCCCTAAATTGGAGACCTTACCTCAGCTGGTGTAAATCAGCATTTAGGACAAGTGATTTCCATGCCGTATTATGCCAGCTTCTAGAGTTAATTAACTGATAGGGTTAGGTGGGAACCTGCAATATAAGAGATGGGTTAGGCAAGGACTGTCCTGCCCTGGGGTGAGGGGTGAACTAGCTGACTTTCTGTGGTCCCCTTACAGGTGTATGAGCAATATATTTGTACTCAAACTCTTTCTTATGCTTTTATTACTACGTCTATGACCCAGATGTCCTGGTTTTCCATATTGAAATCCAGTTCTTCTTTGGTCTGGGCCTCAGCAATGCCTTGTGGCAAGAAGTTTCTCATGGTGAGTGTGCCGTGGAAAGGTGGACTACTTGCAGGAATCTCTATGAAGGCCTGAAACCGGGCACAGCGACGAGAACTTGTGGGACGCGTAACAGAAGACGAGCAACATCAGCCCCGTAGGCAAACACCGAAGAAATGTCAACGGTTTTGTAAAAGTGTTTTATTTGATACCTTACTGTTTCCAAATGACATGTGCTGTCAGACAACATTCAGGCCTTTCCAGCAACACCACAGGTAGTAAATAGCAGTGGCATATTTAGTTGACAACAAAGAGTCTTAAAAAAACAACTGCTCCAAAATTATGTGGCTGTGCTCTCCAGAGCAAAGGCAAGACGGATGAACACACAGCCCTCTTCAACTCCGTGGCTTAGCGCTGTAGGACCATGATTTCACCCAGAGAGTGGGTGGGGTGGGGAGAGTTATAACCATCGAATCCTAGAGAAATAGGGCTGGACGTGACCCCCAGAGGTCATCATGTCCAACCCCCTGCCTGAGGCAAGATCATCTTTATCCAAACCATCCTATGCAAATCTCCTGTCTAACCTATTATTATGTATTATTTATATTTAAAGAGCAGTAGTATACATAGGAATGATTTAAAAAGGAAAAAAATCTCTCAGAGCCATGTTGTATCCGTCCAAACAGTATTCTAGGTAATGGCTGCTTCATACAAAGCCACAAGCTAGAGGAGGGGCTTAAACCCAGAACTTACCCCTTTTCTAGTCAAGTGCCTAAACCACTAAGATACAGGATTAGCCCTTTGCTTAAGTACTCTCTTGCCTCTAATGATGGTTTATTCCAGACAAAGTGAAACAACATCAGCCCGAAGGAATGAGATTACCTCCTCAACCTGGCTCAACCTAGCAATAGTCCAATGGTGAGGGAACTTGGCTGAGATATGAGCTTGACTCTCTCACCAATAGAGAAAAGACTTGGACCAACTGCTGAACAATAGTATTTTGTGAGGAAAGCCCAGTCCTACCAGGGAGAAGGTCTAGGATTACGAGTAAGGAGTCTACATCCCAAGGAAGACACACCTGTGTCCTATTGGTATTGCTTATTGCCTAGCGTAGGTCGCTCCTCACTTAATATGCCAACTTCTATGGATCACATTCTGAATTACCCAACCTAATGCCTGAGGACACTGGCAATAACACTTCCCTCCACCGCGTGGGTGTTGTGAGAGTAGACAGTACTTCAAAGCTCTGCTTCTGTCTACCATATTCTGTTTAAATATTAATAGATGAACCCTTCCCATGACCTGGAGCTTACAGACAGAGAAAGCCCACAAAAAACTGATGACTGACATAGTGCACAGGTCCTCTGTTCAAGGCAAATCCCATCCTTTAGTTTTACTTATTCCAACTGTGTCTTTGTTGCATGAGCAAGTCGTGGGATAACCAACCAGTTGGTCATCCAGGCCAAAGGCTCATGAGTGTCTGGCTCCCAGTCTGGAGTCAATCCATCAGAGCACATTAGCTAGCAGCTATTTTGGGTACTGTACATGTACACTCATACCCATGTGCGTATTGTCATGGCTTAGAAACTATGGATTTAATTCATGCAGAATCATTAAACCAGGCCTGATTTCAAAATGAAAATCATATCGTCATAGAAAAGCAGGGCTGGAGGGGACCTCAGGAGATCATCTAGTCCAGCCCCCTGCTCAAGGCAGGATCACCCCTGACTAAACTAGCCCAGAGAGAGGTAGTTACGTTAGCCATGTTGGGCAGAAGTTAGGCAGAATTTGGGGTAGGGTTGCACCTTGTAGACTAACTGAATCAGAGATGCATATGCTTTCCTAAACAGCAGCTGCTGCATGCAAAAGCTTAAGCATCGCTGACTTAGCTGAAGCAACCCAGTCAGATATCTGTCTACCCTGCTTTCAAAAACTTCCAAGGATGGATAGTCCACATGGTGGGATTATTCTTCCTAATCTCCAATCTAAATTTCCCCTGCTGCAGTTTGAGACTATTGCTTCTAGTCATATAACCACTTTTGTATAACCGCCCTTCAGGTACTTGCAGATTGCTGTCAAATGCCTCCTCAGTCTTCTCTCTTCCAGACTAAATTGTCTTAATTCTTTCAGTCTTTCCTCGTAAATCACGTGAATGAAAAAGCAACCTAAGGAGTGTCATGCAATTGAGCCTAAACTCCTCCCTTGTACCTTCTGAGGTGCTGCAGAATATCTTCTCTCAGAAAGCCTAATTACTCCTCCTCGTGATGAAAGTGCAAAGTAAAAGCATGGCTGCAAACTGAGCGTGGTCTCCAAAACCTCCTGATAGGTTCTCACACCCGGGTCTAAGGCAGGAAGGTCAAGGGGGCAGGGCAGGGGGGCACTTTGCAGGAGTCGGGAACTCCAATAGAGACAGGATCAGGCCTTCAGTAAGAGCCAGTCTCAAAAAAAGATCCCTAACAAGGAGAAGATGCCGTCACCATAAGGCCTAATCCAGAGCCCAGTGAGGTGAGTGGGGGTCTTTGCACCAACTTCGGTGGACACTGGATTAGGCATCAGGTCAATGGAACTTACTCGTGAATAAGAGCAGAAGTCGAGTTACAAGCTTTTAAGATTCCTACTAAAGAAACCATCTAAAAAATGAGGCAGGGACCTCAGCATGGAGCAGAGCTGCGCAGTATGCTATAGCTTTGCTCTGCTTTGTCTAGGAGAAGACTAGAAAAACAAATCCGGGGTCTTATCAAATGCTGGTGCAAAGGACAAAGGCAGAGTTAGGCTACGGCTAGACTGCCTCCCTGCACAGCCCAAGACTGCTGCTGGGAAGAAGCCCCTGCCTCTCACACGTCCAAGCCTGGTGAGTAGGGAGAATAAATGGCTCAGAGGGCATGGCACAGCCCTCCTGGGGTGTGTTCTCAGGACCTCTTTAAGTTGCCTGTTTTACCTAAAGGCCAACTGAATGCATGCCCAAAGCGGGAGTGAGTGGGCAGTGCTGCGTTTGCAAGGCGGCTGTACAGACAAGGCCTGAGACACCTAAAATGATTTCACTGTGACAGTCAATTGAAGAAATGAACCCCTTCCCCTCCCTCCCAAACCCCAATTCCCCATTCAACCTGTTGCAACAGGCTTACGCTTCACTCAAGCCATTAACTTTCTTCTTTAGTCCTTGTTCATCTGTCAGCGGTTCCAGCTCCTGGCCATCCTGTATCTTTTCTCTGTCCCAGTCATTGCTCCCTTCGTTTATTGTCCTTCCATGCTCAGGATCCTTCGTGCCCATTGCCTTCTCCTCTTTTGCAAGCATGCGGTAATTGTAGTAATTCATGATGAACAGGAACGTTCCTGCCAGGACCATCACGGCTCCACATTTAATGAACATGTATTTGTAATCCCCAAAGGTATCTATAAGTGTTCCTGTGAATCACAAGAAGAAAAGGCATGTTGGAAGCAAAGATCTCAATGCTTTCAGTGTCTTCTGCTTGGGAATATTAAGGCTTGCTATTGTGACTGTAGAGTAAAACAGGGGATGTTCTCTACTTTCAGCTCTGATACTACAGTTAGGTTTATGGCATGCAAAGCTATGATGAAGTCAATGGCTATTCCCAATACACAAAGTTCAACAAAGGGTGAAGTCTCAGAGGGACTGAGACTTTATAGCATAGACTTGAGATATCTTTGGCCCATCTATTTCTATGCATTCACCTTGCATCACCAGATTCAAAGCCCACAGAAGTCAATAAGAGTCTTTCTATGGGCTTTAGATCAAAGGCTGGGTGAATAACCTCCACCTAGCTTCATGAGTTCTTGGCCAACAGAAGTGAGGTGTGATGGTGACCTTTGACAGCTGATAATTGAGAAAGGGATTAATCCCAGCCAATTTGTTTCTTCCTAGGCCAATAAATAGCATCAAATGGCAATGTCCATGGGTCAGCGCTAGCCTTGTCTGCACTGGAACTGAAGCCTGGGAGGTGAAAGGGCATTGCATGGGATTTGAGAGCATTAGTTCCAGGGAAAGCAAAGGTGATGCTGTTGGTATGAGAGATTTTCAATGTCAAGAAAAACACGACGGTTTCATCTCAAAGGTTAATGCCTTGGCTATGGGGTTGTAGAGCAACTGTAGAGAGACAGCTTAATTGAAATGCCAGCCTTCACCATTATTGCAAAATGCAACGTAAAGCAAACCTGGCTAGGATGCTGATGCTGGACACTCGTGCCCAACGACCGGAGCAATATGGAGCAATTTGAACATCCTACATCCTGATGAAAATAACACTATGGTCCAGTCAGTCCTTGTAAGTGTGTGTGTGTGTGTGTGTGCGCGCGCGTGCACACCTGTGTGCACTTATACACACGCACAAAACCCTTCTTGAAATTCATAAGCAATATATAAGCTCTCTGACTTACTTCCTGAGTGACAAGTAATGTGTGGAAAGTCTGGGTGATTAATTATCCCGGTGCACGCCTACTCTAAATAGGGATTTTATGGCCACTAAACATATTTCCCGATGGCAAAAATTATTAGCTCAACTGGTTTTGGCCAACAATCTTCTTGCCTCTCCTATAGACATTCTGGTGCACAGTTTTCAATATATTGTTTTATGGATGTTACTCATGAAACATCAAGCAAAGGCTAATTACAGCAATTTTTCCTTCTTGCTAATCAGGATGACCTAGAGGTCTGCTAAATAGCATTCATTGAGGGTTTTAATGAGTAGGATATTGGAAAATTCAACAGTAGGATAGACTTGCCTCTTTTCCTTTGAGAATAAGATAAAGTCATAAAACACACTGGGAACAATTTACTTAGTTCATTAACGCAGAACCCTACCGTGGGTTATTAAAATGCCAAAGAACCAATACATTTGCTGGTTATTAAAATGGTAAGGGAAAAAAGCCAACAAAACTAATAATACTGACTATTATACTGCATTGTCCTGGCCTCATTAGCAGTCTTTCGTCATTAGTTTAATTTCCTGAATTAAAAAAATTATATAATTTAGAGAAGAGTCACCTTAGAACTGTGTTGTCTTCTGTTTGCAATAAATTTGATAATGAATCTTTGCAAAAAAAA